GAGTTGTTGAAGGATTATGACATCACCATCTTATATCACCCGGGAAAGGCCAATGTGGTGGCCAATGCTCTGAATAGAAAGTCAGCCAACATGGACAGTCTTGCTTATATTCCGGTCGGTGAGAGGCCGCTTGCGTTGGATGTTCAGGCTTTGGCCAATCGATTTGTGAGATTAGATATTTCTGATCCTAGTCAGGTATTAGCTTGCACAATCGCTCATTCTTCTTTATTGGAGCGTATCCGTGATCGGCAGTATGATGATCCCCATTTGTGCATCCTTAGAGACACGGTGCAATATGGAGGTGCTAAGGAGGTTACCTTAGGTGATGATGGAGTTTTGAGATTGTAGGGTCGAGTTTGTATGCCTAATGTGGATGGGCTTCGAGATTTGATTTTAGAGGAGGCCCATATCTCCTGGTACTCTATTCATCCGGGCGCCAAGAAGATGTATCAGGATTTGTGGCAGTATTATTGGTAGCGTAGAATGAAGAAGGATATCATTGCATATGTGGCTCGATGTTTGAATTGTCAGCAGATTAAGTACGAGCATCAGAGGCCTGGTGGACTGTTTCAGAGGATTGAGCTTCACGAGTGGAAGTGGGAGCGGATTACTATGGACTTTGTTGTTGGACTCCCGCAGACTCAGAAGAAGTTTGACGCAGTTTGGGTCATTGTTGATAGGCTGACCAAGTCAGCGCATTTCATTCCTGTGGTAGTTTCCTATTCATCCAAGAGGTTAGCTAAGATTTATATCCAGGAGATTGTTCGTCTTCATGATGTGCCAGTATCTATCATTTCGGACTGAGGTACGTAGTTTACCTTGTGCTTCTGGAAAGCAGTTCAGCGAGAGTTGGGCATCCAGGTTGATTTGAGTACAACATTTCATCCTCAGACGAACAGGAAGTCCGAGCGGACTATTCAGATATTGGAGGATATGCTACGAGCTTGTGTTATTGACTTTGGAGGCTCGTGGGATCAGTTCTTGCCTTTAGCAGAGTTTGCCTACAACAATAGCTACCAGTCGAGTATCCAGATGGCTCCTTATGAGGCTTTGTATGGTAGGCAATGTCGATCTCCGGTTGGTTGGTTTGAGCCGGTAGAGGCTTGATTGTTGGGTACAGATCTGTCTAGGAGGCCTTGGACAAGGTCTGGATCATTCAGGATAGGCTTCGTACAGCTCAATCTAGGCAGAAGAGTTATGCAGACTGCAAGGTTCGAGATGTGGCTTTTATGGTTGGTGAGCGGGTATTGCTCCGAGTGTCGCCTATGAAGGGCGTGATGAGATTTGTGAAGAAGGGCAAGCTTAGCCCTAGGTTCATTGGCCCGTTTGAGATTCTTGATCGAGTGGGAGAGGTGGCTTATAGACTTGCTTTGCCGCCGAGCTTATAAGCCGTGCATCCAGTGTTTCATGTGTCTATGCTTTGGAAATAATACGGCGATCCATCCCACGTGTTAGATTTCAGCACTGTCCAGTTGGACAAGGACTTGTCTTATGAGGAGGAGCCGGAAGCTGTTCTAGACCGACAAGTTCGACAGTTGAGGTCGAAGAGTTTTCCTTCTGTTCGTGTTCAGTGGAGAGGTCAGCCTCATGAGGCATCGATCTGGGAGTCCGAGTCCAATATGCATAGCCGTTATCCTCATCTTTTCCCCGACTCAGGTACTTCCTTCTTCTGTCTGTTCGAGGACGAACAGTTGTTTTAGAGGGGAAAAATGTGACGACCTAAGGGGTCATCACTTGCGTTTAGTTGATTTTCGTGTCTCCGAGGCCTTGAAAACCTCATTTAGAGTCACCTCAATTTGCGTGCGCAGTTCGGGTGCGTAACCGGAAAGCTTAAATATGATAATCTATGAAAAACGATAAGTTTTGGTTATAAAATGAGCTAATTTGAATTTGGTCAACATTTTGGGTAAACGGACCCGGACCCATGATTTGACGGTCCCGGAGGGTCTATAGGAAAATATGGGACTTGAGCGTATGCCGGAATCGGATTCCGAGGTCCCAAGCCCGAGAAATGAATTTTTTAAGTGAAATTCTTTTCAAAAATTTGTTTAAGGAAATTTGAAATGAAAACAGATTAGAAAGAATTGGTATCGGGCCCGTATTTTGGTTTCGGCGCCCGGTACAGGTCTTATATATGACTTGAGTCATTCCTGTGAAATTTGGTTAAAAACGGACGTCGTTTGACGTGATCCGGACCTTAATTGTGAAATTTGATGTTTAAAAGAGTTTTGAGAAATTTCATTTATCTCGAGGTTTAAATCGATGCTTGTGATGTTATTTTGGTAATTTGATTACACGAATATGTCCGTAGGATTTTTTTAGGGTATGTGTACACTTGGGGTGGAGTTTCGAGGGCTCGGGTGAGTTTCGAGTAGGTTCCGGGATGCCTTAGGCTTAGAAAGTCAGATGTTGCAGGTTCAAGAAGTTGCAGGTCTCTGAACCCTTTGATGCAGTCCGCGAGAAATCGCGTGCGACCGTGGAGGGGCCAGCGCGACTGTGGTCGCCTTTGTGTGGAGCGCGGTGGAGGCTGTGCGGCCGCAGTCGCCTTTGTGCGGTCCGCACAGGGTGCTGAACTGCAGGTCTTCAGGGAGGCCTATGCGACCACGGTCCATTTGATGCAGTCCGCACAGGGGGTCTGAGAGGGGTATAAATAAATGGGAATTTCAGCTATTTTTCACTTTTCAAAACCCCAAAAACATAAGAGGCAATTTTTCAAACAACCTTTCTTCTCCAAAACATTGGTAAGTGATTTCTAACTCATTTTCTTCACTCCTTAACATCTTTTAACATGATTTGAACTTCAAATCAAAGATTTTCATGGAGGAAATTGAGTGTTTTGGGTAGAACCTAGGTTTTTTCTAAATTGGGGATTTGGACCTCAATTTGAGGTACCATTTCAAAACAAATTATATATTTGGATTCGTGGGGGAATGGGTAATCGGGTTTTGGTCCGAACCTCGGGTTTCGACCACGTGGGCCCGGGGGTGATTTTGGCTTTTTGGGTAAAACTTTGGGAAAACTCATTTTCATGCATTGGGGTTGATTCATTTAGCACTGATTGATATAATTAAGTAACTTGTGACTAGATTCGAGTGGATTGGTGGTGGAATCAAGGGGTAAAGCTATAATTGAGGCTTGAGTGGTGTTCAACGCTTCTAGGTAGACCTGTAGCCGTCCGCAGGCCCTGGCGTATCCCTCTATCTCTACTTCCTATTTTATTTTCTTTGTTCAGAAACAGTGTATTGCATTTCTTCAGACCTTGTATGTAGAAACTCTTAGACAGTCTGTGATACTGTGATACTAGGTTTTGGGGTATTTGAGGTTTTAAAAGTTGTAATAGACGTAGCCTTCAGACATTTCATGGTTATCTTCTGCTTAATTGTTTAAAGTTTTGCTGTTTTTATGTTATTGCTCGTAATTGTAAAAAGGAAGTAATTTAGTAAGGAATTAGATAGTTAAGGGTTGGCTTGCCTAGCTCTCATTAATAGGCGCTATCACGACTCCCGAGGTTGGGAAATCCGGGTCGTGACAATCCCTAACTTGCATAACATTTCACTGTGCAGTTGTTTCCCCAAAGCCTTACTTAGAATGTCTGCAACTTGCTCTTTGCTGGCAACATGGTCCGTCTTGAATAACCATTGCTACAATTTTTCCTAGATGAAATGATAGTCTATCTCTATGTATTTTGTACGCTCATGGTACATGAGATTCGATGCTATTTGAAGAGTTGCCTTATTATCACAGAATAACTCCATTGGTAGATCAACCTCCATTCCCAGTTCCTCTAATAACCCATGCAACCAAACCAACTCTACTGCTGTGGTTACCATACTCCTATACTCAGCATCAACTGAGCTTCTCGACACTATACTCTACTTTTGGACCTCCAAGAAATTAGTGATTCTCCCAGCTTTATGCAAAAACCAGTAACAGATTTTCTAGACACCATACAAGATGACCAATTAGCATCACAAAAAGTAGTGATTTTCCTGGACTTATTGCTGCTCATCAGAAGTCCTAAGCCTGGATGGCTTTTCATATATTTAACCACCCTTAATGCAACTTCATAGTGTGACTCTTTTGGAGCATGCATAAATTGGCTCAAAGTTTGGACTACGAAGGATATATCTGGTCGTGTGATTGACAGATAGAGCAGTCTTCCCATCAATCTCTGATAAGGTCTTCTATCTTCCATCTCTTTATCATTGTCAAGTTCAAACAATTTGCCATACTCCAAACTAGTGAGCTTCTGATTCTGATCCAAATGGATTATAGCTGGTTTTCCTCCCCTAAGCCTCATTCTGATATCAACTCTAGCGCATATCTTCTCTGGTTCATGAGTATGCCTTTGGATGACCTGGCAAAATCTATTCCCAATAAATACTTCAACCGTTTTTCATTTTGAAGTTGTTATTAAGTATGTGCTTGGCCTCTTCTATCAGCTTGATGTCATTACCAATAATTAGCAAATCATCAACATACACTAATATTATGACAATGTGTGTATCCTGCCTTTTAGTAAATAGGGAATAATCTAACTTGCTTTGAGTGAGACCTGAGTTGATAAAAGTAGTGATAGGCTTCAAGTTCCATTGCATGCTTGCTTGTTTGATGCCATATAGTGATTTGAGGAGCCTACAAACCTTATTCTCCCCTGGCTACCAAATCCTTGTGGCAAAGACATGTAGACTTCCTCAAACAAGTCTCCTTGATGGAAGGCATTGTAGACATCCATCTGGTAAAGTGGCTAATTATGTTGAGCCGCCAAAGACACAATACATCTGATAGTTACCATCTTTACTATAGGAGAGAAGGTGTCATAATAATCCAGACCATCCTGTTAGGTAAAACCCTTGTCCACCAATCTGGCCTTATACCTTTCAACACTACCATGTGCCTTATACTTCACCTTATACACCCATTTACATCCAATGAGTGTTTTTCCTACAGGCAAATCTACCCCTTCCCATGTATGATTGTCAGTGAGGGACTCAATCTCAAGCTTCATAATCTGAATCCACTTGCTATCCTTGGCAGCTTGATCAAAGGATGCAGGTTCAATAATAGAGGAAAGGGCTGTCAGGTAGGCCTGATAGGAAGAAAAAAAGGAAGAATACGATAATGAGGTAGAGATTGGGTAGGGGTGATAGAAGAGTAGACATAATCATTGAGCCATATGGGAGGTTTAGATATCCTAGTGGACTTTCTCAAAGGTGGTAGTGCTATAGGAGATGAGTAGGAACTAGAGGTAGATAATAGGTCAGGGTTTGTAGATTGAGAGGTAGGTGATTGATGAACAGGTGAGTCCAGAGATGGTAAGGAATCAGTGATGCTTTGTTCAAGAGGTTGAGGGACTGTACAATTTGGAAAGGAGTCATCTATGAATGATGAAGTAGTAAAAAAAGAGGTAGATGGTTCAAGGAAGGTGAACTTGGGAAATCTGAAAGGAAACACTGACTCTCTAAAGGACATATCTCTACTAACAAAGAAAGACCCAGTGGCAATATTGTACAATTTATAGCCTTTTTGAGTGTCTGAATATCCCATTAACACAGTTGGGATTACTTTGAAGGTGAATTTATCAGTGAAGTTGGGTTTGGTTGCATAATATAGACAACCAAACACCTTGAGGTTTTGAAATGAATGGGGTTTACCATGAAAAACCTCATAAGGAGATTTTCCAGAAAGGACCGAGGAAGGCAACATGTTTATCAGGATACAACAGTAAGAATACATTCACCCCAAAACTTTAGAGGTACATAAGCTTGAAACCTGAGTGCCCTTGCTATCGCAAGCAAGTGCATGTGTTTCCTCTCAGCTACCCCATTCTGTTGAGGGGTATGAACACATGAACTTTGATGCACTATTCCAAGAGAAGTAAAAAGAGTAGTACATTGAGAATTGAAAATTTCAAGTCCATTTTCTGATCTAATAGTCATGATAGAAGCAAAAAATTGATTTTTAATCAAGGCACGGAAATTTCTGAGCAAAACAATGACATCACTTTTCATTCCCATCAAATAAACCCAAGTCATTCTAGAATAGTCATCAATAATAGTAAGAAAATATCTATAACCATTGTAAGTACATTGTCTATATGGACCCCACACATCCATATGTACAAGCTCAAAAGGAGAAGCAGTTTTAGAAGTACTAGTAGGAAATGAAAACCTAGTTTGTCCTGATAAAGGACAAATTGTACAGGACAAAGACTCTCTATTGAACAAATGACTTTGTAAAAAAGGAAGTTTCTAAAGAACAACAGCTAGTGCATGACCAAATCTCTGGTGCCACACTGAGAATTGATGAGAGTGAGCAGAAGAGAAGCATTGTTGAGAAGACACAGGGCGGACTAAAGTACCGGGAACATATGCTTTGACAGGTGACAGCTTCTTGGTAGGTTGAAGTAAATATAGACCATCCTTCTCCTTACCAATACCCTTCACCTTGCTAGTTCAAAGGTCCTAGAAGATATAGAAATCAGGATAAAAATCCACACAACATTGTAGTTGTTTGGTCAGTTTTGAGATGGACAAAAGATTATATTTGAAAAGAGGAACACAGAAGACATTTGTTAATTCATCATTAAACAGTGAAAGTGAACCAACATGTGTAAAAGAGGTCACATGACCATTTGGTAAATGAACTTTGTTGGCATTAGGTGTAACTAGTTTAGGATGTAGCAACAAGCTAGAAATCATATGATTTGTTGCCCCTGTGTCGATCACCCATGGAATGGATTCATTGCCTTCAGATAAACTAACATTGGATCAAGTAGATATACCTGCCATATTAGCAACTGCTTCCTGTGAGGGTACTGGCTTGTTGATTAGCTGTAGGATCTGTTGATAATATTCAGGAATGATAGTGGGCATTGGCATGTACTGAGCAGATGGTTGAACTGTAATATTGGAGCCTGATGCATCTGGATGCCCAAAGTAATTGGCACTATTGACTAAAGGTCCTTTGTTATTGGTTCCTAACTGTTATGGCCTCTCAAAACCTTTCTTCCTATTAGTATTAAAATTTTGTAGTGTCACGATCCAAGTTCTCCCTCCGTGAACAGTCGTGACAACACCTAGTCTCTATGACTAGGTAAGCCTAACATTTGTGGAAAAGGAACGAAAACATAAAAAGCTATCAACTAACAAGTAAATTTAAATGAGGAAATGAGATGTTGCTCGACATATACAATAATCACTTTAGAAAAGTACATAAACTCTTCCAAAACCCGAAATGTCATAAGTCACAAGCTAAAGAAAGAAACAGTACTCTCATACTCCAGAGTCTAATAAAAGAAGATATTACAAGAAGTGTTTGACATAAGGAGGAATAGATAGGGACTCCGAGGTCTGCGGATGCGGCAGATATACCTTGAAGTCTCTATAGTTGGCTCGCCTTACTGGTAATGCGGTTGATAAGCAGTACCTAGATCTGCACACAAAAAACATGTGCAGGGAAGGGCATGAGTACACCACAACGACACCTAGTAAGTGCCAAGCCTAACCTCGGTCGAGTAGTAACGAGATCAGGTCAGGGTCCTACTAGTATAAATATAATGGAATAAGACAGAAAGAAATATTACAGCAAAATAAATACGGAAATATAACAGGAATAGAATTCAATGAAAACCAACAACTCAAAATACAGTAATAGCAATAGGGGATCTCCCGGGATACTGGCTTGTAGTCCCAAACGTAAATGTGCAGGGAAATCTCCTGGAGTACTGTTCCATAGTCGCAAAGTAAATATGCAGTGCTGGGGGATCTCCCAGAATACCGTTCCGTAGTCCCAAAGTAAATATGCAGTACAGGGGGATCACTCGGAATACCGTTCCATAGTCCCAAAGTAAATATGCAACTCAACCAATATAACTAGCAGTCACAGCAAGAAAATCTATGGTTTGGATTAAGTTCAAATCAAGAAAACCAGGTAATTTCGCTAAACATGTTGTATAAAGTTCAAATAGGCAGTTAAAAACACATAGGCATGCTTTTCTAATCCAAACAGGATAGTACATATGCTAATGTAATTCAAACAAGGAGAATACATGTATGACTTAGTGAAAAATGGAGTTTTACAATAAATAGCCTGTGTACGTACTCGTCACCTCACGTACACGGTGCTCATATATCAAACAATACCAAATCCTAAGGGGAGTTTCCCCACACAAGGCCAGGTAAGCCACTTACCTCAAACCTAGCATAATCAATCCGTAATAATGCTCTTTTCACGAATATCCAACTCTGGATGGTCCAAATCTAGCCAAAACCAATTACATAACATAAATATAGCTACAAGAAACTAATATAGCTAACAAAATCAAAGCTAAGGCAAGAAATTAGAAAAACGCCCGAAAAAGTCTCCCCGGGCCCACGTCTCGAAATCAGGTAAAAGTTACAAATTATGAACACTCATTCACTCACGAGTTCACTCGTACCAAAATTATCCAAATCCGATGTCTAAATCCCATTCGAAACTAAGAAATTCGATTGGGGAACTTTTCCCCTATTTTCCCAACTTTCTCAATCAAAATCCTTAACTAAATAAAGAAAACAACAACAAATTAATAAAATATAGCCAAAATCGAGTAAGGAATCGTTACCCACAAGCTTGCTCTAAAAATCCTTTAGATTATCACCTACGAGCTCTCAAAGTTAAATGGTGAAGAATGACATAAACCCTTGATTTGGCCCCCTTTTCTGCCAGTTAAACCACACCTACGGTCCATTCATTGCACCTGCGGGAAATTCATCACAGGTATGAAAAATCGCTTAACTCCTCACGACCGCATCTGCGATAAGGAGGCCGTATCTACGCATGCGTGCCTGCGGAAAGTCTCCCGCTTCTGCGGTCCTAGGCCGCTTCTGTGGTTGCTTATTCATATCCGCGGGCATCGCAGATGCGGAAATAACCTCGCACCTGCAATCCCGGCCTGGGCTGCCCAATTCTGCTTCTGCTCTCCAAGTCCCGCTTCTGCGGGCTCGCACCTACGGTGACCTCTCCGTAGGTGCGATTACACCAGCACCAGAAAATCTTCAGCAATGGCCTAAGTCTAATTTTCAACCCATTGAGCATCTGAAACACACCCGAGGCCCCCGGGACCTCAACCAAACATACCAACAAGTCCTAAAACACCATACGAACTTAGTTGATCCCTCAAATCACATCAAACAATGCTAAAATCACAAATCACCCTCCAATTCAAACTTAAAGAACTTAAAACTTCAAAATTCTACAACTGATGCCGAAACCTATTAAACTACATCCGATCGACCTCAATTTTTTCACACAAGTCATAATCAACCTACAGACCTACTCCAACTTGCGGAATCGGATTCCGACCCTGATATCAAGAATTTCACTACCGGCCCAAAACTCCAAAACTTTGACTTTCACAATTTCAAGCCTAAATGAGCTACGGACCTCAAAAATACAATCTAGACAAGCCCCTAAGCCCAAAATCATCCAACGTAGCTGACGAAATTGACAGAACTCCATTTCGAAGTCATCTTCAGACTATTCCAACTTTGGTCAAAATTATATCTTTAGCCTCCGTTTTAGGGACTGTGTCCCAAACTCTTCCAAAAAACAAAATGAACCTCTTGGCAAGTTACAATAGCAGAAATAGATACGGGGGAAGCAGTTAATAGGGGCTCTAACTCTCGAAACAACCGGCCAGGTTGTTACATCCTCCTCCTCTTAAAATAATTGTTTGTCCTCGAACAAGCATAT